GTACGTCTTTTTCAAATCGACTATCTTCGCGGCTGGGTTTGACTTTTCACCGACGCCTTTTAGAATTGGATAAACTACCCTAAGCCTCCCTCGGATTAATTAACCTTCTTTAATTTAATATTCCGGCAATAGTTCCTGCACTGTGAACCTCAAACATGAGTCCAAACATTGAACTTAGAGGGATGAATAATTTTTGCACAATTTGGTACCAGATCAACTGTTAGCACTCAGTCAATGTTTGATCAAATGCAAAAGAAATTTGACAGAGGAATAATCCTGTTGACGTAAAATGCATATTAGTTGATAATACCTGGTTTTTTAAATTTACAACCAATCCAGAATTGAGAATTTCATTATTTTAGAAAACTGAGAAAGTACACCATTCAGTAAAAGTCAGCATATTTGCCTATTAATCCTCGAGCAAATAGAAAATATTTTTACCTATTAACTAATTAATAATGCACACCAATACGCGCTTGTTAAAAAAGTCAGTGATTTTGGTTAAAATTCTTTGGAAATACTTAAACCAAAACGTAAATAAAAAAATTTCTTTTCAAAACTTCTTAAACAACTCACCCCTTTTTTCAAGCAACTCCACAGAAAAACATTAAAATTTTACGTAAAAAAATATAGAAAATTTAAATTAGAAAAAATATCTGTTGCTAAATCATGGCTAAGTTCACAAAATATAGTTAATATGAAACTTATAACCAATCTAGAATTTAAAATGTCTAACTGTAAACGTACTTCGTTTAATGAAATATTTGTAAAGCATTTGTAAACCAGGAAGAGCCCCCCCCCCCTATTTAAAATTTGTTCACCTAAATATTCAAAAGTTTATTATTTATTTTTCTATAATTCTACAGACATAAATGAACACTATTTTATTATTATTTTTATGTGTTCGATCAAAATGCATAAGAAATTTAACTGAGGAAAAATCGTGTTGACGTAAAATGCATATTAGTTGATAATACCTGGTTTATTAAATTTACAACCAATCCAGAATTGTGAATTTCATTATTCTAGAAAACTGAGGAGGTACACCATTTATGAAAGTAACAACATTTTGAAGCCATGAAGAGGCTTCAATTTTATAAATTTTTAACTAGCTTACTCAAGTCTTAACTATTTATTTTTGTTATGAGTGCTGAGAAATTTCAAGGCCAAAAATATCGAGATATTAATGACAATTTTGAAATATCCTGTTAAAACTTGCATTATAATACGTAATATAGTTATAATTAAATTTATATATAATTTTTGAAAAATTCTAAATTTCGAACTTAGAGAGAGCTACAGTGATTAAAATAATAATTATATGCTTGTATAAACCAGCGACAAGTGTTGATTTTTCCACATTTTTCAAAATTTTTAAGTTTTTTATCACATTGTAAACATTTAACTTTTTCAAATTATATTTCAGGAGCCTGCTTTTTCAGGCTACACCAAAAAAAAGTTGGTCAATAAAACATTCTTGATATTTATACATTGCTAATAAGTGATTTATTAAATTTACAACAAATCCGAAATTAAGAACTTCATTATTTTAGAAAACGGAGAAAGTGTACCATTTATTAAAATAGCAACATTTTGAAGTCATGAAGAGGCGTCAATTTTATAAATTTTTAACTAGCTTAGTCATGTCTGAACTACTTATTTGTCGTTATCTCAGATGAAAAAAATAACAGTGCCTATTTTTTTGACAATTTCGAAATCTGCTGTTAAAACATGGATGGGGGGCGTGGGTGACCGCAACGGTTTAGGCGTTGACACAGCGCTCTTCACTGTAAGGTGAAGGTCACGGGTTCGAATCCAGCAGCCCTGCATTCGAACTCGACATACTTACAAATGGGCCTTTTTTCAAAAACACCGGCACCCTGAGGGTTTATATGACCTCTGCTGTTGGAAACCCTCCTAATAAAAATATTAAAAAAAAATAAAAAAGTGGATGATTTGTAATTACATTTATATCCAATCTATAAAAGAGAAAGTTGTATAAAAAAATACGTATTTATAAATCGGAAGCAAGTTATGATTTTTGTACATTTTGCACCTCTTACACAAAATTTAGTGGCTTTTTCTCTCTCTTTGTAAACATTTTATTGTTTAAAAATATATTTCAGAATCCTGTGTTTTATCAGGGGAAAGCAAAAAGTATTAAGACTGGCAAATAAGAATAATAAACAATAATGTCGCTTGATGCCAAATTAAATATTTAATGAATATAAATTATTACTTATTCAGAAATCGAGAGATTCGATCTTTATTGACATCATCTTTAGGGCTCAAAGTGTTTGTCTGCACTTTGAGCTCTGAAGATGATCTCAATAAAGATCGAAACGTTGGCACGATAAAGAAAATGTTTTTCTGAAACCTACATCACACCAGATCGCATCTCACGCATCGTTTAACGGTCACTAACCACAACACATAAATTTTTACATTGTCATTTATTTATCAGCACAATTATTTTGAGTTTAACAGTGAAATATACAGTCCATTATTGAAATAAACTTCATTTCATAAATTCATATTGGTTATTTTACTTTGAAAAATTAGCAACATCAATCGGGGGGGCGTCGGTGGTTGACACGACGCTCATCACTGTAAGGTGAAGGTCCCGGGTTCGAATCCAGCGGCCCTGCATTCGAACCCGACATACTTACAAATGGTTTTTTTTATCAAAACACCGGCACCCTGAGGGTTTATATGACCTCTGCTGTTGCGAACCCTCGTAAAAAAAAAAAAAATAAATAAAAAATCAAGGGACCAGTGGGTAAAACTAAAAACATTTTTATTGAAATTGGGCACGCATATTATTTAGATGATTACTTATTTAAATATTTTATTACACAAATTATTAATTTGAACTTATTGCTTCTGAAAATTCTTACTTTAAAAAAATCTAATAAAATATGTTTAATGCATTATATATTTTAATGGTGGTGCCTACAAGTTATTGACATGACAATGACTTGCAATGAATAATTATTACGGAAATCATTTCATTATGCCGTTTTTACGGTATTTCTATGTGAAAGACTCCCGACCGAGTACTCATTAACACGATCTGGAAAATTCCCTTTTTACTCTGCTCTCCTTTGTTAAGGCTGTTGACCGAAATTCAAAACTAACGTTAAATATCCGTTATCAAAAGTGTGATTGTTAGAACAAAGGCGAATAAGTCCTTGAACTTATAATAATGTAACTTTAACGTAATTTAAGTTATTTTTCATTAAACTGGTAAATTTTTTATGAGAGTTGATTTTCACCATTATATTGTAATTCAATTAAAGTTTTATGTTGAGATAAAAAAGTCAGTGTCACCAGCGGGATTCGAACCCACGACCTTCGGCTTGATACGCCGTTGCTCTACCACTTGAGCTATCGTGACTTCGATCCCCTCGGGCACTAACTTCCCATCTCAACCGCACCTTTTGAATTTTCCCTCCTTTTATTATATTGTAAATTATTTAACTGGTTACAAACGATTTAAAATAAAATAAATAAGAGCTTTAATTAATTGATACTTATAGTTTCGTTATTATACTTGCTGGTAAAATTCAGTTTTGATTCTGTTAAATTGTGTATTTAAGCATTACACTGGATTTTTTAAAATTATTTAAAATTACATTCTTTCGTTTTTATCGTGTCTTTAGATTGTTGAAGCGAAAATCTTTGATCAGCGAGGGTCTTTAAATAATTATCAGGAGCAACAATTTCCTCTGAAATTGCCCGGTGAAATAAAAAAAAGGCCCTAAACTTAAAACGACCACACTCAAGAACTACGTCGTAGAATTTGGGCAACTGGTCCAGAAGTAGGTTTCCGGTTCACTTTTGATAACTTCTAGAACGGACTTTCTCCAGCCGTATGAAAATACGGTGTGTGTTCATTAATTACAGAAAATGCCAACCACGGGGTAGAAATTTGTTTTTATATTCTAAGCGTTTTCGCTAGAGGCATCGCGAAAATTAAAAATATTTTAGTTCTATGAGAATGAATTTGAACATTGGTTTTTCGCAGTTTTTTAATTGGTTCTGGTCTAACGTTTGCTAGCCCTGTAAGTTTTATTTTGCCATTGAGGTCTTCGATTTATTTATTGACCAGGTTAGATTAAAACAACAATTAATGAATATGGCTCTCGTTTCCAATCCAAGGATGAAATCTGATATCCGTTCTTTTCTTGAAACTTTGATAAAAAATTCCAATTAATTATTCTTTTCGTGTCAAGCAAAAACCTTAGATAAAAAAAATAATTAATTGGAATAATTAATATCGTCAATTATGACCAGTAAGCAAATATGGTTTAATTTAATAAGAGAGTTATAACGTTTAATTTAAAAAAGAACAGAAAAATTCCCGATTGATGAAATTAAAGAAGTTACCGTTATTTTACTCGTGAAGATGAGGCTAATTCGGTCATAGCTATAAAGCGAAGGCTACCGACTGTTATTAACATCTGAGGAGATCCCATGAACTGACCTACCCATCTCAACACCTATCACAGATGAATAATTCTAGGTCTTTCCACTTCCTCATAAAATCTTAATGAGAATAGTTGAAAAGCCAATGGGAAATCTAATTTTTTCTGTTACGTATAACAATTGCTTATACATTTTTTATCATGAAAAAATTATTATTAGTTTTCCCCTGTTTGATTGCACAGGATGAAAGTGAAGATATTACGATTATTATACAACAGTCGTGTGAAAAACAACAACCCAATTTTTCTCGAGTGCAAAATATAGTCTTCTCTTTCCATTTTCTAATAATTAAGGCCAGCATCATAACCACCGAGAGTACCTTTTTCAAAAATCCCCCCCACCGCTGGATATAAACTTTAATCCATCATGTACAAACGGAATTACTCTAGTAGTTACTGATTATTCGGAGATCGAGCGTTGTATAAATTCATTTTTTTTTCCTAAAATTTCTCGCGTTATATAAATTCATTTTTTCACATCCTACATGTATTTGTAAAATTTAAACAATGTTT